ACCTTGAGCTTGCTTTGCTTTGCTTTGCTTGACTGGTCTTGTGACCCCTTGTTCTCCCCCACTTTGCCTATGGGGGTGTGTCAGAATATTGTAGCTTTTACATTTTGTGTAGGCTATAGTGGGGCATCCCATAGGGGGTACAACCCAATTAGGGTTAGTACTTGTACCCACTTCATTCATAGTTCATTCATTTTCGTTCATTGTCACAGGGGTCGCGCAGAGAGGTCACCAGTAACATGCAGAACAGTCAAGATGAGCAAATTTTGGTGCTTACATACCGAATAAATTGCACAATAAGGCTTTGAAACAAGCCAAAATGGAGTCCACAAAATTGGCTGAGTGTTGGGATTTTTTTTGCTGGGTTTTTTTTTTTTTTTTTTTTTTTTTTTTTTTTTTAATGATACGATAGATTCAACCATCCCATACCTTACTACAATGGAGAGATTTGTAAAAAACACATTTAAGGGTGGTTTGCTGCTCCAAATGCCTGCCTTCTGGTGTACCTTTAAACGCTGGTAACAGATAGGTTAGTGATGCAAATCATCTTCTGAATTGCTCTAGCATCTTCCCAAGACATCCTCTAGAGTTAAGGATTGAAATAATTTTTTTGGTGGAATTCACCAAAACCAACATATCAAGCTACTCCAATGAAGCTCCTATCACATGACAACTCATTCTCTAGCTATCATGGACAGTTGTAAATTTCTTGCACGTTATTTTTTGGTTTTGAAGATTGTGCTACTGTTATCATCAACTATGTTGGCTGTCTGCCTACTCACGTTTGGTTCTTTCAGCAACCTGCACCATTTTGTGTCACAATCGCCTGCTTACTCATTTTGCTTTGCAAACCATTGTCCTGTGGTCCAAATGAGCAGAGTTTTTTAGAGGAGTATCAATCCAACATTGAACGATCCTGTACCAATTTTCAGATCAATCCAAAAACCAGAGAGAGGTTGTTGATGATTATTTTTGTCGTGGTTACCTTGACTTTGTCTAAGTTTTAAAGCACAAACCAAACATTGGAATTAAGCTTTTGAAACTCATAGGGGAGCCTCATGCCACTAATTATAAATCCCCCTCTCATTTTCAAGTCAATCCATTAAGTGTTGATAGGCCTTTTATGCTTTGTTGTGAAAGATAAGCCTGAAACTCTGCAGAATTGACTCCAATTGGATTCACATGCAAAACACAAACCAAACATTGGAATTTAGCTCTGAAACTCATAGGGGACTCTTATGCCACTTATTCTAGATCCCTCTCTCATTTCCAAGTCAATCCATTAAGGTTTGATAGGCCTTTTATGCTTTGTCGTGATAGATAAACCTGAAAACTCAGCAGAATTGACTGCAATTGGATTCACACGCAAAACACAAACCAAACATTAGAATTAAGCTCTGAAAATCATAGGGGAGACTCGATTTACTAATTATAGACCCCCCTCGCATTTTCAAGTCAATTTATTAAGGTTTGATAGGCCTTTTATGCTTTGTCGTGAAAGAGAAGCCTGAAAACTCCGCAGAATTGACTTCAATTGGATTCACATGCAAAACACAAATCAAACATTAGAATTTAGCTCTGAAAATCATATGGGAGCCTCATGCTACTAATTATAGACCCCCCTCGCATTTTCAAGTCAATCCATTAAGGTTTGATAGGCCTTTTATGCTTTGTCGTGAAAGAGAAGCCTGAAAATTCTGCAGAATTGACTTCAATTGGATTCACATGCAAAACACAAACCAAACATTGGAATTTAGCTCTGAAACTCATAAAGGAGCCTAATGCCACTAATTATAGATCCCCCTATCATTTTTAAATCAATTTATTAAGGTTTGATAGGCCTTTTATGCTTTGTCGTGAAAGAGAAGCCTGAAAACTCTGCAGAATTGACTTCAATTGGATTCACATTCAAAACACAAACCAAACATTAGAATTTAGCTCTAAAACTCATAGGGAAGCCTCATGCCACTAAATCTAGATCCCCCTCTCATTTTCAAGTGAACCCATTAAGGTTTGATAAGCCTTTTATGCTTTGTCGTGAAAGATAAGCCTGAAAACCCTGCAGAATTGACTGCAATTAGATTCACATGCAAAACACAAATCATACGGGATTCTCATCACACTTATTTTAAATCCCCCTATCATTTTCAAGTCAATCCAATAAGGTTTGGTAGGCCATTCATGCTTTGTTCTGCAAGATAAGCCTGAAATTTATGCAGAATTGTGCCCGTTTGGGTTCTGATGCAAAACACAAACCAAACCTTGGAATTAAGCTCTCAAACTCATAGGGGAGTCTCATCACACTGATTATAGATCCCCCGATCAATTTCAAGTCAACCCAATAAGGTTTGATAGACCTTTCATGCTTTGTTATGCAAGATAAGCCGGAAAATTCTGCAGAATGCCTGCGTCTGGGTTTTGATGCAAAACACAAACCAAAACTTGGAATTGAGCTCTCAAACTCATACGGGAGTCTCATCATACCATTGAAAGACTCCCCTATCATTTTCTGAACAATCCAATAAGTCTAGATATGGTTTCGCCTCATTTTTCTACAAGATTTGCCTGAAATTGCAGCAAGCATGTTTGCTTACGCATGCTTAAATTCCTATACTGAGACACTATCCAATCTCGACGATGTAGTTAAAAGTGAAGGACATTGCGCTTGTACAGTGTGATGACAAAAGGAGGGTTCACATTCGTGCAGCATTTCTCCATGTTGACGGTTGATGGGCGCTACACAGTTTGGGTGTTTTTTTTTATGCAAACTCTCTGTATATTACACAATTATAGCACAATAGTTCACACTACACTTCACTCTTATTGCGTCAAAGCGCAACCTCGAGTACTAGCACGAAATGTCGAGTTGGGCAGACTCTGCATCTGGCAGTGTTAATCGGCTCAGAAACCTTCTCTGACACACTTGGTGTCAGATTCTATCTGGCGCGCAAGTTTCCAAAGGCTCGCAGATATCTGGGGATCCCACTCGCCCCATTTATTTTTATGGGCAGCCCTTACAAAACGTCTGGCGTGTCAGAGGTCCACTAGTGATCCCCGATTGATCCTAGGGAAGGGTTACAGGCACGTTGGCCTGGGGGGTTATGGGCGCACTGACCCGCTACTTAAATAAGCCCTTTTATCCCAATGGTCTAGTGGTTGGGATTCTGACATGGTATCAGAGCGAAGATCTCGGGTTCGAATTCCGGTGTATGCACTTCGGGCATCCCAATGCGGGGGGGTGTCAGAGGTCCACTAGTAATCCCTGATTGATCCTAGGGAAGGGTTATAGGCACGTTGGCCTGGGGGGTTATGGGCGCACTGACTCGCTACTTAAACAAGCCCTTTTATCCCAATGGTCTAGTGGTTGGGATTCTGACATGGCGGTGATCTCCAACTGCATACTAGGGTGTGCGGTGCAGAGGTCATCATCAACATCTTCTGCGTAGATAAGGGCTTCAGTGTGACGGCGCCACGTGTCTGTTCTTGGCAGATGATCTGCGACACCAGAGGCACGTGATTCGCGGTCGCAGATGTGGAGCAGATTCCCCCCAATTTCGGAACACCAACCTTCGCGGGAGACAGCATGTTCTCGTTTAGATAGAGAGGTTGTTATCCAAATCTGAATATTCAGCTAAGGGTTCATCAGCCCAAAACAACTAAGCGAGGCAGTAAATGCTGCACACCACGGCGTCTCATATGACGGCCACTAAAAGATTCGCTAAACTAGAGGCTCCATCTGCGCAGGTGAACGCGACCCAATCGTTGTTGCAACACGTGCTTCACCTCTGCTCGAAATCCTACGATTCAATCCATTTTGGCTGCAGCGTCCATCGACCAACCTCATTCTCCCAGATTTTGCATCCAATCTTGCTTCCTACGCCCAGAATGCAGAGATCTCTTGAGAGGTCTTCTACTAGCTTCACCAGGTAGTTCCCGGTGCTTCAGCAACCTTAGGCAGAGACCGCGTCAAGAGTTTAGATAGCGACTTATTAACTCCAAGCCTGCGACTGCTAATTGAGTAGAGGAACTGGGTCGCGCAAGCCATGGCCGACACACCTCTGCTTAGGGGTTGCGGCTTAAAGGTTAGCATTACCAATGAAGACTACGACACTTTAAGCGATTCGCAGAAAGAGTGGTCAGAGGACCTTCTTAACTTCGCTATCTTGTAAGTACATCATCTGCCTTGTGTATATCGTATTGTTGGCACCTCAGCCCTCCGCATCGACCGTCCGTCAACTAAAACCGACCTCTGGTTTTCTATAATCTTTTTTCATGCATGGCATTAACCAAGACTCTGCTGCCCATACAACAACGGCAGAAGATTGCTATTTTTTCCTCATCCTTCGTAACGAAACGGATTAAACTAATCCATCCGAAAGCGATACCGAAGAGGCCAACAGACGGCCTCCTCACCAAAGACGCCCTTGAATTCCCGCAGTGGTCCAAGTAAGTGTGTTATCGTTTTCGCATATCGCCTTCCACAAAGAAAGGTTCACCAACACTATGCATTTGCAATGTGAAGATTGAGCAGCGAGCCGAAAGTGGCTATCAGCCTCCTCGTTCTCCTAGCTCCATGCGATCTCCGCTCTCCCACCTGGAGAACAGACCATACACGGATCATCTTCTTCGACCCTAAGAGTGGTGTCGAGACTCACTCTCACGAAGATTTTGCTCAAGAAGTGTTGCAGTAAGTCATGCTGCTCATTGCCATTGAAATTGGATGGTTTACGATTCTGACACTTATTCTGTCTTTGACTACAGATGGTTGCAGGAGCAATTGATTGTCGAGTACACAACATTCATTGAAGGTAACAGCTCTAAGAACGACAAAATAGTCGTTCGCGATTCGAAGACGCGTCTGTCGGATTTGTACCTCCAATTTCCAGGGGGGGTGAGTAATTTTAGCAGTCAATATGTTCGCGTGCGTCCAAATGTGTTTTCGGTTACACCACGCGAACTCAAATACATTGTTCTCCGTGCTGGCAGATGACGAAAAATCTCAGATGGGCACAACCAGGTTCGGGCCTTCAAGTCGCCCACGCATTGGGATGCATGAAAAATGGGATGACATTCTACAGCTGCAGTGGGACGACTCGTTTATTACACTCGGCAAAGGCTCCCGCACGAAAGATAAGGTAAAGGAGTTGCTTGTGGGCGAGTGTGATAGGTTATTCACTGTGCGCATCGACGACCAAGAGGACGAGACGCTAGTGGGCCAGGGGGATGGTACAGACGGCGAAGCTGCTATGGAAGTTCCGGATGGAGGGATTGCAAGTGAGGGCCGTCTACCAATAGAAGTAGAAGCGGAGGGTGTACAAATCAATTGGCCGAATCCTCAGTCCGAGAACGACAATGAGATAATGCGAACAACCGTAGAGGCGGCGTCATCGACATTTGTGTACACCCGCAGAGGAACGACGTCAATGCATGGTAGTGCAAATCAACAGCCTGCTTCGGTGGGGATTGAAGGTGGCCTACCAGAGAGGGTGACGATAGAGATAGACGCTGTAGAGAACGGGGCAGGCGAGGTGTTGCGCGGCAGCAAGCTTGATTCTGCTGCAGGACCAGGAGAGTGCATAGAAGGCGAAATCATTGGCAGAGGAGTTTAGACGCATAGAGGAGGTAACTCGACGTGTGCGAAAGGAGGCGGAAACGGCAAGGGCCGCAGACGAGCAGACAAGGAGGGGGGAGGATCGGCAGAGTGCAGAGCGTGTGAAGAGGGCGAGGGCGGAGGGTGAGGCGACGGTAGGCATGGAGGTGGAGATGCATCGACCTCACGATGCGGCAGAAGGAGCCAGAGCCGCAGAGGAGCGAAAAAAAGCGGAAGAGGAACGGCAAAGGGTTGAGGACGCAGAAAGGGCCATGTTGGAGGCAGAGGCGAACGAACGCAAAGAGGAGGAGGTGCGTCGTACAATTGAGGTTGCTGAGATGGCGACGCTGGCAGCAGAGAAACAAACACAGACGCTGGAGGAAGGTGCGAGTTTACGCATCGAGGAGGAGGCGCGTCGTCAACTGGCAGCAGAAAGGGTGAATGCCGCAGAGGAGCGAAAGAGAGTGGCAGAGGAAATGCTGAGAACGCAGGCCGCAGAGAGAGCTAGGGTCGAGGCAGAGGCAAAAATGTGGATAGAGGATGAGGCAGTTCGTCTGAGAGAGGAGGCAGATAGGGCGACTGCTGCAGAGAGATTAAGGCTGGAGGCAGCGATGATGGTTCGCAGAGAGGAGGAGGCGCGGCATGCAAAGGAGGCGGCTGAGACGTCGCAGGTCGTAGATGACTGGAAAAGGGCGGAAGAACGGCAGAGGGCAGCGGCCGCATTAAGGGCCAGGTTGGAGGCAGAGGATAAGCAACGCAAAGAGGAGGAGGTCATGCGTGCGATAGATGATGCAGAGAGGGCGAGGTCCGCAGATGAGGGCAAGAGAGCGGAGCAGGAACGGCAGAGGGCAGAGGCTGCAGATAGGGTGAGTGCGGAAGCAGCTGCAATGATTCGTGGAGAGGAAGAGGAGCGGCGTGCAAAAGTGGAGGCAGATAAGGCGAAGGCCGTAGAGGAGCGAAGGAGAGCGGAACAAGAACGGCTGAGGGAAGAAGCTAAGGAGAGGGTCAGGACGGAGGCAGCAGCGATGGTTTGCGGAGAGGAAGAGGCGCTGCGTGCTAGAGAGGCGGCAGAGAGGGCGAGGGTCGCAGAGGAGCGCATGTGAGCGGAGCAGGAACGTCAGAGGGCAGAGGCTGCAGATAGGGTGAGGGCGGAAGCAGCTGCAATGATTCGTAGAGAGCAAGAGGAGCGGCGTGCAAGAGAGGAGGCAGATAAGGCGATGGCCGTAGAGGAGCGAAGGAGGGCGGAAGACGGACGGCAGAGGGAAGAGGGTGAGGAGAGAGTCAGGACGGAGGCAGCAGCGATGGTTCGCAGAGAGGAAGAGGCGCTGTGTGCTAGAGAGGCGGCACAGAGGGCGAGGGTCGTAGAGGAGCGCATGAGAGAGGCGCAGGAACGGTTGCAGATAGGGTGAGGGCGGAAGCAGCTGCAATGATTCGTAGAGAGGAAGAGGAGCAGCGTGCAAAAGAGGAGGCAGAGAAGGCGAAGGCCGTAGAGGAGCGAACTAGAGCGGAACAAGAACGGCACATGGAACAGGCTGAGGAGAGGGTCAGGACGGAGGCAGCAGCGATGGTTCGCAGAGAGGAAGAGGCGCTGCGTGCTAGAGAGGCGGTAGAGAGGGCGAGGGTCGCAGAGGAGCGAATGAGACCGGAGCAGGAACCTCAGAGGGCAGAGGCTGCAGATAGGGTGAGGGCGGAAGCAGCTGCAATGATTTGTAGAGAGGAAGAGGAGCAGCGTGCAATAGAGGAGGCAGATAAGGAGAAGGCCATAGAGGAGTGAAGGAGAGCGGAACAAGAACGACAGAGGGAAGAGGCTGAGGAGAGGGTCAGGACGGAGGCAGCAGCGATGGTTCGCAGAGAGGAAGAGGCGCTGCGTGCTAGAGAGGCGGCAGAGAGGGCGAGGGTCGCAGAGGACTACAACGAAGACGCTGAAAACATGCTGCGGGAGTATAGAGAGGCTAAGGCGATAGCAATCATCGAACGGCAGAGGGCAGCGCAGACACGCACGGAAATCAACACTTCTATACATGGGCTCCATCGCAGAGTAGCCGAATCAGTTCAACGCGCAGTGGCACGGGAGTACGTGACGCTGTTGAGCTCGTTGAAGGAGCATGTGAAAGAGGGAGTAGATGCGGCAATGGGCAGGGCGGCGCTGGAGGGAAGACTTAGGGTGGTTCTACCCAAAGACTACATGGAGACGATGAAAAACGCTATTATCGCCAACGTCGAGGAAAAACTTGCGGGGGTCAAGTCTGCGATGGATGAGAATTGCCGGAGGCTTGGGAATTTGAAAGCCGACATCCTGGCAGCAGTGGATGAGAAGTTGTCTGGGAGGATACAGGTCGGCCAGGTTCCGGTACAACAACTCAACCCACCGTCTGCCCCGCATTTCTCCCAACCTTTCACGTGTGACAACTCCCCAGATGTAGCGCTCGCGGCGGCCGCGAACATGGTTGAGAGATGGGGGTTTGCAGGCCGACAGGAGATGTTGGAGTCGGAAAGACGTACAGAGACGGGAGGGGAACACACCAGCGTTGAAAGGAAGGCGCAGATGGGACGTGGCGAACCCATGGCGGTGACCAGCGTGGGGCGGGCTGACAAGGATGGAGAAAAGGCGAATGAACAACGTGCTAGTGAGGCTGCGGAGCAACAGCGGCGCATGGAGGAAGTAGAGCGGCAGAGAGCGCTCGAGGAGGAGCAGCGTGCTGCTATAGAGGCGGAAGTTGCGATTGTAAACAACCCCGCGCAGACAATCGATACAGTCTACGCTCGGGCGAAAGGATCGAATGAAGATACGCGTCCTGCCAGCAACATGTGTGAGAGCGAGGATGGCGTTACAATCGAGGCAGCCCATAAGTAAGGAAAGCAGGGACAGAGGCCTTCTTGGCAAAGAGGCCATCGTTATCCCGCTCTGGTCAAGGTACGGATGGGGAGGTTGGGTGTCTGATGCTCTCAATTAAGTCTGATTGTATAATTTTCCGTGATGTACAATCACTGACAACATTTCCTCTACGATCGTTGCAGGGTGGACTTCGAACCTCACGCGCTCTTCAGCCTCATGGTTGTCCTGCATCCCGATGATCTGATAAGGAACCGCCATCCAATCTATTGCACATGTGTTATACATTACAATCCTAAGTCAGCAGTGGCAACCCACACGCATTCGGCTTTTGCCAGTGAAGTACTAGGGTGAGTTTGAATCACGAGTAGGTGTTGGCTTCAACTGTAGACCAACCATTCAAGCAAACAATGTTTATGTGTTCAGATGGCTGAAGGAGCAATTTGTAGTGGAATACACCCACAACAACAGCCACCTCGACGAAGACGAGACGGAGGTGTTACGTACGTTGCGCGAGAGGCTGGCGAGGTTGACCATTGATCGCAGCGTGGTGAGTAACATTCTGCAGATGCATGCTGCCATACACGTTTGAAATTAGTTTCTGATGTTAAATGTTTCAATAATGGCAGACAACCACCAATCTGAGGAGCAAGCAGGTGGGGTCAGGCTTGCTCGTGTCTTATATCTTGGGAAAGATACTCGACAACTGGCCGCATGTGATGCAAGTACGGAGCGGTGGCACCTTTCCTGGACTTGGCAAAGGGACATACTCGAAGGAGGAAATACACGCGTGGCTCCTCGAGCTCTGCGAGGAGCATTATGATCCCCGAGCGGAAAACGGAGAGGACGTGGTTGAGTTGGACGATGACGGTGACACCGATGACGTACAAGAGATAGCGACGGGTGAAGAGCAGGTCGAGGAACGAGTAGGGGAAGGGCCAGGGGATAAGGCAAGACAGGGTGAGGATTTGCAAGGTGAGGTTGATTTACATGTGCTAGCAACGAAGCCGAGGATGAGGATGAGGCAGCAGGGATGGTCTAAAGAGTCGGCGTCAGAAGAGATGCTCTGTTCAGAATCTAACATAGCAATGAAAGACAAACTTCACGAAGTAGCACGACTGAGGGTGAAGAGGCGAACTGCCACTGGGAGGGGAGGGGAGGAAGTGCGGATAGGGGAGGAGGCCTGGTGACAAAAGGCAGACACCCAAGGTGGCGCTCTGGGGGTGGGAGGAGGCCGCAAAACGGTTGGAGAAGCGGATGCGCCCAAACAGGAACAACATGGTCTGGACAAGCGTGTAGGGGTAGAGACAGCACAAGCGGCGAGTGCAGCTGCGGAACGACAGGGTGGGAGGGTCGGTATCGATAGTCAGGCACGTCACCGGACCTTGCGCTTCGACAGGTTACCGGAGAAGCAGAGGGAAGAGGGTTTGCTTGCGTAGCAGAAGGCAGAGAACAAGGTTAAAATGCCGGATAGGGTGCGCGCGGATGGTGAAGAATCCCCTGCAAAAAAGCCGACGCACCATGTAGACGAAGAGAGAACGAGCGGAGAGCCGGGAAATGTGCGGATGACCGATGTGGCGCGAGAGAGTGGTGTCAACTACGGAATCGATTGTGAGGCGCTTCACCAGTCTTTGAAGCCGATTATAAAACAGTATGTGGAGGAGGCGATAACACGCGCGTTACAGAAGCATGGTGAAGATACAGAGGCGAAACAGTGCCAGTTTGAAAAGTCGCTGAAGGAAGAGATACTGGCCGCTGTGCACATGAAGCCCCGGGTGGAAATTGCAAGGGCAGGCATGCCGCAGTCGCCTGCAGGCGCACCCGCTGTAGTTTTGTTGGCGCCTTCAAATGCAGATGCCGCTCCTTCCACGCCCTTGCAGCATACTGCCACCCATGGCGCGCCCCTGGGGGTTTCGGTGGAGGTGGAAGTGGTAGATGAGCGTCTTCGTAAAGGGAGTGAGAAAGTAGATAACCATCAGCAAGTAACAGAGGTCGGCCAAGACAAGGAGGAAGAGAGGGAGAAGATGGCACAGGGGGATCCCATAGAGTTGACAGGTTTGGGGAGGAGCGAGGGTGGTGCAGAAGACTATGGAGTGGACGTGCGATGCGAGGTAGGGGAAGTGAAAAACGACGCGGTTGTAGAGATTCAAGGCGAGACTTCAAACAGCAAGGTGGCAGCGAGGGTGGATGAGCATCTGGCGAAGATAAAGCGTGCAGAATTGGACGCTCATTTGGATAAAATGGAAGCGGAAGAGAAGCGTTTGGCAATCAAAGAAGAGAAGGAGATGGTGCGGGCTGAGGAGCAGAGGAGGGTTCTGGAGTCGGAGAGGGTGCGAATAGCTGCTGAACGACTCAGACTGAAGATGGGATAGAAACTGGAACAGGGTGGAGACAAATCGGATGTGGGAACTTTTGGTTGTGTCCAGCTTCGTCAAAAGTTGGAACACTCAGATGGGGGTCGTTGCAGGAAAAGACAGAGAGATATGCTTTCGGAACATAGCGGGTCGCAAACGGGCGCAAATGAAGGGATTGCTAGTGATGGGGATGGGACCGAAGGAGAGGGCAACAGAGGGACGGTTTGTGAGGTAGCACACGGTCTGGGTAAAGTGTACGGGGAAGATAAGCTGTACAGAGCAGGCAGGTTTTTCAAGAGGAAGAAGGCGACAGCGGGAAGCAAGTACTGTTCCGAGTAGACAGTTGGAGGGTGTAAGAGAAATCTGGGAAATTTTGACAGCGAGCGGAATAGGAACTTCAGCATCGCCATCTACTAGATGGCATACACTCCAGATGCGGACCCCATCACCTACGGCATGGATAAGGAGGATGTCCAAGCGTGGTCGGCCCATCTGAACGAGCTGCACATTTCTCGCATTGAGAAGTGAGTGACGTATGTTGCAATGCATGGTTGGAGGTTACAGCGTGCTCACAAAACGTTGCTTGTTGATACTGCCCTCCCAGCAGTTTCGGTGCCGTCTTGAAGAAAACAAACGAGCATCTGGCAAAGGGTGCGGCTCTGCAGACCGGTCTCTGCGAAGGAATAGGCTTGGCAATGCTGCTTGGCTGCACAGGTGTGGAACCGGCCGCAGACAGAGTCCCTCATGCAGTGTACGCTGCTGGCGTAGCATCCGCGTTGTACACCTTATGGGGAGCCTCGATTGGTACTCCAGAAGAAGACTCCAAAATCGGCGCTATGACCGTCGCGAGCTGCATCGTCAACGACGAGGAGCTGTCGAAGCATGCGGCAGAAGCGGCTCGAATCGGCGTGGTTGCAGTGAAACAAGACTCAGACAGACAACTCAGAAAGAAGGAATGGCCGCCTGTCTTGGAGGGCAAAATTGTCGAGATCCCAAATCGACCCAAGGATGAAGTAGATGTGACTAATCTCGCCAAGGTGGTAGCTAGGGTCACGGTCTACAGGTGTCTGTGTGGCTTCGCTTCGAGGGGACTGGCTCGCCACCAGGGCGCAACGCTTTCTATTCTTCCAACGCGACGTGGGCCGAGGCAGAAGGGGGAGAAGGGGGATGAGTGATTGACGGGTGGTATGTAGTTAGAGAGTGCAATTGTTGATCTGCACGATAATGAGAATTAAGTGTCTTCCATACGTCTACCGTTGCGAAGTGCAGTACCCCGTTGAACCAATTTGACGAATATTGCATCTAAGCTCTTTGTCCAGTGCATGTGGTCTACTGAGCGATAACTAAACGTTTTCGGTATGAAAGTGTCAATTCGTAGATTTGGGTTGTTGAACACTTAACCTCTGAAAATGTAGAAATGGTCGCGACCACCCGAATATTCAATGAAGCTCCACAAAACCCCCACCTGCAGATTTAAACGTTGCTCTCTAACGAGGCACGCGATGGTGAGGACCCTCTCAAATACTAAACAATCTCAATCTACCGTCCCATAAAGAAAACACCTATTTGTCTGCACATTGAAACCCCATGGTGGACGAAACCGCGAAGAGTTGCCGTGAATCCGATGCAACCTCGAAAAAAATTGCGCGTTTGTGAGGTCGGTTTCTCGACTAAGCTGAGCTAGGCTGACAAACTCTACCATGCAATCACCTAAAAAACATATTGTTCCAACTTTTAATGAACACGCACATCATTTACATCGACAATGGTGAGTAAAGCACCCCTCCTTACTCCATGTTGTTCTGAATGGCTTCACGTCAGACTATACCGTGGCATATAAAAATCCTACGAGTCTGCGCGTAGAGTTAAAAAACGTTTCTCTACGCATGTGGCAATTGCAACCCCCCTACACATAATTAACGCACCACCTCCAGAATCCCCTGCTTCTACGACCCAGTTCACGCGCCAGGCCTTTCCTTCAAAGGCTTTTTAGACTCTTCGTCCTTGATCGTCTTCCACTGGTCTTTGCCGAAGAGCTCTTCCCCCCATGTGTCGTCGCACAGACCATAAAACACGAGGAGATACAAAACCCTCTCTTGCGCATCGTTCGTCAGGCTTTTCCCCCCAACCGTCGATGTTCGCTGCCTCTTCGCGGCCCTCCTATCCTTGACGATAAGCCCATCTGCAAACGTAGTGGGACAAGTCTGGAACAGCACCTCTTCGAGCACGTTCACCGCCTCGGTCGTCGCCTCCACCGAGTCGTCCACCCTGAACTTTCCACCGCTAACATAACTTTGTGGATGCGACGCAGCTGCTTTTCACATGTGCCATCCTTGGAATCCAGACATGTTAAAGTTTAGCAAGGCTTAGGAGCCATGGCTAGGTAGGTCGAGTAAGTTGAGTACGAGTTTAGGAAAAAGTGTCGAGAGGAATGATGTTCACTAAAGAGAATGGCAAGTACAAATAGGTAAACAGCAACACAAGGAGGTGCACCACCAAACATGATGCAATATCTACACTACAACTGCAAACGATTATATAAAATATGTAAACATGTTTTGACAAGACACACGGTGGGCTTGAACTTGCCTTTCTCTTCCTCGATTTCCTCACCCCTCTTGAAATGAGCCCATTTAACGATAAAGCCTGCGTTCTCTGCAACAGCACGCAGTGTTCGGCCTTCCACAAGGAAGCTAGACTTGTTCCACAGCGCCCATGCATCTGCCACTGTGGTGCTGTCACGCCACGGCCTCGCTACACTGTCAAAGTAGACAATATCTGGTGTAGGTGCAGCTGGCTCTGGGGTTGATGGGCCAGCTCCACCTTTCTCCATCTTCGAGGAGCCCGCAACTCTTGCGGCAGACTTGTCGGCGCCAACGTTGCCCGCAGAAGAAACCCTGAGAGCGGCCAACTCGGCCTTGAGCTGCGCCAGCTGCTCCAGGAGACTCGTGTTGTCGCTCTGTAGGTCACACACTTGGGCCTGAAGCTCGGCGTTGCGGACGTCCTTCAGCCCATTCTGCTTCCGCAAGCAATGGTTCTCTGCGAGGAGCTTCGCTTTCTCGTGCTTGCCCTCGATACGGAAAATAGCGTTCTGCGATACAGAAACATGTTAGTCGATGAGAATACTTGCATTAACAAGACTAATCAGCGGAGAAAAAGACACTTACGGCCTCCATCGACTGTCCCGCATTCTCCCTCATGTCGTGGCCGTTTTTGTCCATGGTTGCAACAATTTTTGCCCACTTTTGAAACAAGGGCTCCTTGCAGAGACGGCTTATCCGCACAAATGGGTGTCGCGTGCAGCTGCATCGTGTTTCATTTGGGTCGAACTCGTGCTCGTGACAGTGGATCCACATCATTGCAAGGTCTTGCGCGACCACGTCCCGACCGCAGTTGATGAGGCACTCCAAAAACCTCCTCCCAGAATGATGGTGCTTGTAGGGGGTCCTTGGACGGTTGTACTTGTCGACCTGGTGGTGAGGGACGGTTGGAAAGTCGAAGAGATGCATAGATCGAATACCTCATCTGCTCCAAAAAGTGTCATATGATTATATTACTGATGCATATATTTAGGCTGTAGTGGGGTAGCCCATAGGGGGTACAACCCAATTAGGGTTGGTACTTGTACTTGTTTCATTTCATAGTGCACTCATTTCCTCGCCTCTATCTCAACATGGTATCGAGCAGGTTCCCTAGTGGGAACTGTTCCTAGGGCCCACCTACTATTCCGTCCTGCCCGGAGCGCGCTCTGCCCTAGCCCGAGTCGCGCTGGGCCTTTTTTTTTCCTTTGGCGGCCCGATCGCGTCGAGCCGCCCGCGATTTTTTTTTGGCGCGCCACCTACGCGGCCTCGTCGCGCCGCCCCTAGACGGCCGCGCCGCGTCGCGCGTGCCGCCCTCCAGTCGCGCGCCACCCCCTCTGACCCTCGCGACGCCGGCGCCGTCTCTGACGGCCCCGCGATCGCCTGCGACGGCCCCACCGTCCCCTCTGACGGCCCCGCTGTCCCCTCTGCCGGCCCCGTCGCTGCTTCAGACGGCCCCGCCGCTGCACCTGACGGCCCCGCCGTCCCCTCTGACGGCCCCGCCGCTGCACCTAACGACCCCGCCGTCCCCTCTGACGGCCCCGCCACTGCACCTACCGGCCCCGCCGCTACCCCTGACGGCCCCGCTGCTGCACCTGCCGGCCCCGCCGCCTCATCTGCAGGCCCCGCCGTCTCACCTGCCGGCCCCGCTGCTCTACCTGACGGCCCCGCCACTACCCCTAACGGCCCCGCAGCTGCATCTCCCGGCCTCGCCGCCCCAGCAACTACGCCGCCCCAGCAGCCGAGCCGCCCCAGCAGCCGAGCCGCCCCAGCAACCGAGCCGCCCCAGCAGCCAAGCCGCCCCAGCAGCCGAGCCGCCCCAGCAGCCGAGCCGCCCGAGCCGCCCGAGCCGCCGAGCCGCCCGAGCCGCCCAGCAGCCGAGTCGCCGAGCCGCCCGAGCCGCGCGAGCCTCCCGAGCCGCCCGAGCCGCCCGAGCCGTCTGCACTGCCCTGTCTGGTGAGCACTGAGCTTTACGCTGTGCACTGCCCTCACCCTACTGCTGTCATGGCTACCCCCAGTGTCCTCACCTTCGACGCTGAGGGCAGAGCCATCGACTTTGACGTGTGGGTAGACGACCTGCTGCTTTTCCTACAGTGCGACAGAGCTGACGGCCTCTCTCTCTTTGATCTCACTTCTGGTGCCTCTCCCGCCCCTGCTGCTACTGAGGATGCCACTGTTCGCTCAGTGTGGGCCACACGCGATGCTGCTGCACGTCTTGCTGTGCGTCGCCACCTCCCTCCCTCTGAGCGTGCACACTTTGGGTCGTACAAGAGTGCTCAGACCTTGTACGACGCCGTTATTGCACGCTAATCCACCCCTGCCACTGCTGCACTGAGCCGCCTCATGCTACCGTACCTCTTTCCCGACCTTGCTTCCTTTGCCACAGTCGCCGACCTCATTACCCACCTGCGCACTAGTGACGCTCGCTTCCGCGCTGCG